ATCATGAATTTCACAGCAACCTGGATGGAGCTAGAGTCTATAATACTGAGTGATCTCTCACAGAAACAAAGATCTGAGTATCACATGTTCTCACTCATATAGTGGACCTTGAACATCTACCATAATACTTTAAAAAAAAAAAAAAGGACTGACAATGGTAGGAAACTATGGGGGGGTAGGGAGGAGAAGGGAGGTGGGACTAACGGTAGTCAATATCTGTCTGGGGATGGGGAGACACCCCTTATTAACAAGGGTGCCTGAACGATGCACATTTGCATACCTAACCCTTAACTGTACCCCACAATTTTATAATAAAAAATATGTATGGTTTTTTTAAAAAGCAATTGTTAACATCATCTAAACAAAAAAAATACATTAATGAAACAATTTTAGCTCAGCTTTCAGTCCGGTAGGACAAATTTTATATCCAGTTATAAGTGAAATATTAGAACTAGGTAATACCCTGAACAAGTACAAAACCTGATCATTTTGTAGATGAGACTCAGGTTTAATGTATTTAGAAAATAAAGTCTATATTAGAGCAAAGAACTCCTTATAATCACCGGTTTCTAAGTCCAAACCAATCTCAGAAGACTGAGTCAATGAAAAAAAAGCACAAAAGATTATTTCGATAAGCCCCTTTTACAAGGTCTGTAGCATCAATTAGCAGCCATGCAAACTTTCCACTCTTCTTTCCATCTGAAACTTGATCCAAAGAGGCCACCCTCTAGGCAAACTAAGAGAGGTGAGGGGTGAGGGACCAGAGAGAAGAAGGACACCGTTCAGGACTTCCAGTCCAAGTTAATGTTTATTCACAAAATTCAGCCTCTGGAAGGCAAAATGACCAACTTTCACAACTCATTTAGGCCATGTGACCCATCCCCACCTCTACTCCCTGGCAAAGGCACAGGAAAAACCTTAAACCTGAAGGATATCCTTTAGGTGATTACACACAGGTCACAGAAGAGTCCTTGACACCCATACTATTTCTGGCCAGGTGCCTGGGTCAGCTTTGAAACAGTCACCAGAGGGTAAAATGCTCCATATCCTATTACCAATTTGATTCCCCAGAGAAAATCACTGAAGATATTTGTTATTCATGAAGGGACACTCACCAAGGTCTCATGACCTATATGCTGCAAGATACAATATACACTTTAAATTCAAAGGTGCAAATGCTTATAAACTTTCTAACATAAAAGCCTCCCCTTATCTGTTCACTTGACCTTCTCCAACAAAAATCAAAGAAGAGTCTACTTGCTCTAGAATGAAATGCCCAAAGGCCACAACCTGAATGAGTGTCTTACTGGAAACCAAAGAATCATGCTGATTGCTTGCAAAAGATTTTTTAGAGGCCAATTTTGATCCACCAACACAGCCAAGCCACCTCTAAGAGTGCCTTCCAAGGCACAACTTACCTTGTAATTGCTAGAGTTCACCCAAGAGGTAGCGAGTCCATCCACAAGCTTATCTAACATGGTCTGGTCATGCTCAAGGTCAGCAGACTTCTGTTTGTCTGAGAAATAGTCTATCAGTTCTTGGCCAACCTGCAGTCTTTTCCCCACGTCCTTCTGCAACACTTGTGCCAGGCAAGACTCCATGCGAGGCTCCATGGTGGAATTCAAATCCAGAACCAGCAAAAGCTAGAGGGCAGTCAGGATGACTCCCTCCCAGTGGATGTATCCGGGAGGTTGCCTCTTTGTTCGCTGAAGGTTACTAAGAGCCTGTGTTTCAAAGATGCAATCCGGGGAATGGCAACAATGCACCATGTGTGTCTGAAGAGCAGCTGGTAGGATATTAAAAGTCCAATTTAAATAACTAGTAGGAGATGAAGGAGTGAGTGGCAGAGTGATATTCTACTATTGGTTCTGAAATACTTCATAATTCAGCAGTCCATTCTGAAAAGTAAGAAAAGAGAACGACAAATTAGCACAGATAACATAACACTCAAACGTTATGAAACATTAAATCAAAGACAAAGCAATTCATGCTGCAGAATCATTTATAATCACAAGCAGAGTGAGAAGCATGAATGCTTGGCAACCATACTAGAATAACATAATTATTATTTTTATCAGGAAAAACATCAAAGCCCAAAGAAACAAGCCAATGAGCTACACAGTTGGTGAGTTGATGTTTTTCACAATTTTCTAGCTTGCAAATGCACCAGACAGGAAAGCAATCTTCTGCTTTAGCCAGCATATTTATTTGTAGCTTAAATTCGGCTTCCCACCAAAAAACCTAATGCACTCTGTGTCTGAATCGCTGTAGGTACTGCAGCTTACTGCCTTACTCTCAGTCTCCTGAAAAACCAAGGCCTGGATATGGGGCAGGCCCCACAGAAACACCATTTACCCAAGTGGCTGGTTTGGTCACATCAACCAAAATCAAGGGCAGCGCCCACATCTTACTTCTCACTCAGTGCTTTACAATAGGGTGAGGTAACCCCCGCCTCATTCTCCCCCCAGCAAAGAAAAGAAAGAGACAAAAGGAGAAAGGAAACAGGCTCAGGTTCTGATCAGTTATTAACACAGTATTCTCGGTTGAAAATAGCACTATTTGGGCCTGCCAGGGTTTTTAAAAATAAAATCAGACCTCAAAATCAGGTGTGCTGATCAACAAGGGTACCTGCATAATGTACATTTGTATACCTAACCCTGAATTTGTACCCCACATCTTTAAAATAAAAAAATAAAATTTTTTTTTTAAAAATTAGGTTTGGGTAGGGCAACACACATAATGTGGAACAAGTACCAAATCGGTTTTAACTACACAAATTGTATCAACTGTGTAGTCAATCTACTGCTGCTGGAGCAATTGTACACATTTATGGCTTACTTTTATTTCTTCTCTCCTAAAACCATTACTTAATTCCTTTCATTCTAAGCCAAGAAGACTCACAGGAAGCCTATCCTTAAGATGCAACACCACCCTTAATAGTGTACCAAATAGAAATGTTCTTCACAACAACGGTAAGTCCCATCTCTCAAGGGCTATGGTAGGTAAATTTGTCTTTTATAAGTCAAGCAAAATTAAAATTCTGGGTAAGGCAACTATTCCAGTCTGAACACGACAATGATCTTCCTTTCTAATACCACCCCATCCCCATGCCTAATTTCAACATAAAAAGAATGATGCTCTTTCTGAGTTACATAATCACAGACTTTTGATGCCAATAGAAATCAGAGAAGTTACTCAGAGAGGAAAACTCTCCTTCAAAGCCCCAGCATATGATTACTCAGCTTCTACCTTACTGGTAAGGGAGGATGGCATTCAACAAGGCTTACTATCTCATGGAGCAATCCTTACTCAAATTTAGGTAATATCTGCTTTCCAGTCATTTCCTCACCCTGGAATTAGTCCCTCTACAGGAAAGATCTTCAAATACACAAATGCAACTATGATCCTCCATTCCAATTTTTGGTACAAATATAGTATCTCCAGTGCCTTAATCATTTCTTGTGTTGGACTAGAGAGGGCATCAAGGATATGGGAAAACTAGAGAAGCCAAAAAAATCTCTTCTTTTTGTGCCTGATACTAGTATAAGAAGCAGGTCAAAGAAGTAAGGCTTGTGGTAGATTAAAAATGGCTACAAACTCTTGGCTACTCCTCCCCCACTAAGGTGAAGTCTAAGTCCCCTCCTATAATGACTCTGGACTTGACTGTGTGAAATCTCTGGCCAGTTGGAAATTAGCACCTCTAAAAGCAAACAGTGTATTGATATATAAGCACTGGAGCTTGCTCTCTTAGAATGCTGCCGTGAACAGCCATGCTGTAAGGAAGCTGGTCTAGCCTACTAGACACAAGAGGCCTCATGGCAGAGAAACATGCTCCAACGAACAGCCAATAGCAACTGCCACACAAGGGAGTGAGGCCATGTGGGACCATCTATTTACAACTACGCAAGTGTAAGGAAACAAGGAAAAAAAAAGACCAAGTCAAACCACAGAATTATGAGAAATAGCATTTCATTGTTGTTTTAATTAAGCCACTGTGAAGTGTTTTGTTACACAGCAATGGATAACCAATACACTCCCTCTTCCCCTAAACAACTGTCTTCCATCCTCAATGGGGAAAAAAAACTTATAGCACTTACTTATTCAAGAGACCTAAAATCAACAGACACTAACCAATAATAATGATAATACCATTTTAAGCATCTACATGACATGTCAGGTTCTATGCTACCACTAATTCTTCAACCAATTCTATACAGTAGGTATTATTAACATTCGTATTTTATAGATGAAGGAACTGAGATAAAGTAAGGATAAGTAATTTTTCAAGACTGCATGGTCAATGAGCTGCCTTTCCCCACTTTCAAACCCTTATTATTAGAAGTCTGGCCTAATTCTGTGTTGACCCAAGGGAAGAAGGTCAGATGCCCTGCCTAACAAGGAAGCAACAGATAGGACAGCAACATCTCCATTCAAGTAAACACTGAGAAAAATTCCATTTGATCAAGTCTCTCCTTCAATTGAAATTGTGTAAGAGTTTTACAAAAAAAGAGCATACTTTTCTCAGACTTCTGACAAATAAGCACATGCAATAAAAGCTTAACATACTCAAAACTAGGTCACCAACTCATATGAACAAAACCCAAAGAATGAAAAAGACTGGAAGCCCCTACGCATTAAGCGAATTGGGTTCCCTCTTTTCTCTTTTTCTTAATTAAAAAAAAAAGTAACTGACTACTCTCTCTTGCACACTTATTCTTATTAAACTGGTACTCCGTAGTTTTTCTTCCATGCTTTTGAGTGTTTTCTCAATCTCTGTTTTCAAAGGCATTCAGGGAATAGTAATCACATAGTTCCAAATCCAAAAGGTACAAAAAGGCAAGATTTCCCTCCCCAGCCATCCAGTTTCCCTCCTTAAAAGCAAATAATAGCCGGGCTCAGTGGCTCAGCCTGTAATCCCGTGCCTTTGGGAGGCTGAGGTGAGTGGATTGCCTCAGCCCGCAGGTTCGAGACCCGCCTGGGCAGCGAGACCTCATGTCTACAATAAATCAAAAAATCAGCCGGGTGTGGTAGCGCGCGCCTGTAATTCTGGCTACTTGGAAGGCTGAGGGTGGAGCCCAGCAGGTCGAGCCCGCGGTGGCCAGGAGCGGACCAAGTGAGACTCCAACTCAAAAAAAAAAAAAGCAAATAATGTCATTAGTTTACTATGTATCCTTTCAGAATTATTTTTAGTGTTCTCCTACCTACATACTCCAGAAAGTTCTTTTTTTTTTTTTAAAGATGTGGGGGATGCAATTCAGTGGTCATTGCACAGGTGAAGTTTGGGTTTCCCATTGGTCCTCACTTCACTTGGGCTGGGATAAGGTGCCCGTACTGATGTTACATGCCCCCCCGCACGTGCCCCACCCTCACGCCCCATGCCCTGGCAGTGCCCCACTACTGCCACTTCCTTTCATGTAGTATCCTAACCCTGTGTTCAGGGCCCACTTGTGAGTGAGAATATGTGGCACTCAATTCTGTTTCTGGGTATGGTAGACTATAAATCCGTCCAAGCTTCTGTGAAGTCCATAATTGTGTCCTTCTTTATGGCTGCATAACATTCCATCGTGTATATGTCCCACATTTTTTTATTCAGTCCACTTTTGATGGGCAGCATGGTTTGTTCCATGTTTTTGCTATTTTGAATGTTGCTACAATAAACATGTGTGCACCAGAAAGTTTTCTAAACATTTACAATTAAATCATAAAAAGATAAATAAAAAGTGAAAATACAGGCAAAGTTTCATATAGCAAGAGTTTTATTACAATTTTATATTTCAAAACGCAGAAACTTAGAAAACCAATAAACAGGAGGGAAAAAGGAGGAGGATTTGGAGAAGCTAGAGAAAAAGGAGGAGTTGAAGGAAGAGGAGCTGGAGCAAGAAGGGCTGAAGGAGCTCGACAAACAGGAGAAGGAACGGGAAGAGACAGAGGAAGAGCTGGATGTGAAGGAAGAGAAGAAGGAGCTGAAGGATTTGGAAGAGAAGGATGGAGAGAAGAGCTGGGGGTGCTGGTGAGGAAGAGAAGCTGGAGCAGGAGAGGAAGAGCCCGCATCCTGACCAGGCTCTTCACTAGGGAAGAGGGAAGCCAGGAAACTGAGCTCCAAAGTTAGCCTGTAGCCAGCAGTCGCCTGGTTAGTTCTGTTAGATACCAGGCCTATAGATGTTAAAACACAGCAGAAGGCACTGGGATATCGGAATAAACAGGACTCGGCCCCTCCCCTTAGTGAGTTTCTGTGCAACTGTTTACAATCCCACAGTCAGTTCTACAATCATCACTTCAGAGAGGTGCATTACACAAGAAGAACTGCCTTACAGCAGCATTGATATCAGAGATTATTCAGAATGTAACTCTATTTCTAAGTCCAAAAAAAGTTCAACTTTCACGCGTTTTCCAAAAGAATAAGAGACATTTTAAAAAAAATACAGAGGCCACGCTTGCCTCTGAGTGTTGGTGCTCTTTTCAATATGTGAAAAGTGAATAATAAACTTTACTTCTTTCTAGAAAAATTTAAAAATTAAAAAAAATTTAAAAGATATAGAAAATGGTAGATGAGGTTAGAACAGCAAAGCACCTTTTTTCTTCTTTATCAGGATAAGCTATATCAAGAATTCACTATAAATGCTATTGAACACACTAAATGTCACGTTACCAGTCACCTGAGAAAAGGGACACATTTCAGGTATTTCTAAAAGAAGAATGCACCAACCCTTCCCAAACCCAACCCCAACTGCAAGAGGCCCTTCCATCACCCAATATCAATATTCCACCCCCATTACAGTAGGTGGGTTCCAAGCATCCAACCCTTTCCTGCCATATCATCTTGGTCTACAGGGGCAAAACAATAAAAGGTTATAACAACTGTCCTAGTTATCCTCCTTGTAGTGCCCTGGAAAGTAAA